ATACATGCCAATATCGAAAGGAACCGAGATCTTTTGGAGATAAACCTATATTTCAAGTTTCGTCAAAATCGGATAAGAATTGTGACCTGTAGAGTGTCCACAAACAAATTGCGGACGGACGTATAAAAACCTTTTCTGCTGAACATTATATTGGGGGGGGGGGGGGTATTGGACCGGCCATGGAGCGATGATGATCATGTTGTATGTGGCCGGTGACTTTAACGGGCCGCCACGCCATCACTGGGGTCTGGAATGGGCTGGTGTATAAGACTTTCTGGGCCGAGTGTGCTGGGTGTTGGCCGGAATTCGACGCTGTCGCCAGAAACGTAACTCAAAAAAAAAAAATCAATTTTAAGGCCTCAGCAAAATTTGATGTTGCTGGTCTTGACGATACAATGATAATACGTTAATTAATATGACGATATTATTATTTTCACAGGTTGATGGATGTAAATTACTTGCAGGTCGGGGTTTTGGCCTAAATTAATCAATTGATGAGATATATTATTTGACAGAGATTATAATCAGATATGCCACCAAATCGCATATTTGGGGTTCATTTTTCAAAATTTAATGGGGATAGCCCCCGGACCCCCACTCCGGGCTCCGCGGTCAGTAAAAGGGGCGGCTCCGACACGGGAGCCCGAGCCGGTTCCCGGCCCCAATCTGCCCCTGCGCCCATGAATAAATAATAATATTAATCGAATATATAAACCTCAGAAATTTAACAGATACAAATAATGTACATGTTATTCCACAGGTAGACATACATTGAAGGTGCCCAGTGAAGGAGACGCAGTTGCTTTAGAGTTTGTCCGACACCTTTGGGTATTTGCGTCCCATACCCAGTGAAATAATCATGTTTTTCTGATGCTCAACTAGTATCAAATATATAGGCCTATTCTTCATAAAAAGTAGGGGATATTCAGAAACAAAACAAAACTGCGGAAATGCACTGCTGTTTTTATTAGAGGTAACCAGTGTATGTTAATAAAAGGCCAATGGGCGGCTTATCTGACGTTCTCTTTACACTCGCAAATAGATACACCGTCAAAAGTGAAAATGAACGTTTTTGATTTTTGTTTCAAAAATGAGTAATTGCTCCACCAATCCTCAGGCATTCAGCAATTCGTCGTGGCATGCTCTTAATGAACTGTCCAGTCACGATTTGGGGCAATCTGGCCCACTCCTCTTGCAGTGCGACGGCTAATTCTTGCAGTGTTGTCCGTTGACGTCGACGAACACATCTCCCGATCAAATTAAACGTAACACACTAAAGCAAAGATACGCTAAACAGTAAATATTATGCAAGAACCGATAGGAAAGCAAACATGGATAGATAAACCAGCACGCGGCAGTTTTCATCAACCCTTCCTTGAAGTGTCAAATTTGACAATGAAGTCTCGTGTGTGGCGCTATTGCGTGTCGGTATTTGCATTTTAATATCCCCTACTTTTTTTTGAAGAGTATATCGTGCCTGTTACAAATCGCCTCGAGCATGTTCCACACATCTCAATATTTATCAGCTTTTTGTTTAATCTATAAAACTATGCAATTAAGATATTCCTATGATATGATTCAACCGAAAGGGCCTATATGCATGATATAAATCTACATTCAAGTTAAACGAACCGCATCTATTCATTTCAAATCTTGCGTCGAGCTAAATAAATTATGTGTTTTATAACATCAAGTTTTTACACCTTGTCTTTTGCATCTAGATGTTTAAAGCGCGTTAACAATATATTCATTTAAGGGGAAACTATGTCATTTCGTGATTAATATACCACATATTACGAGTCATACCCAACGGAAAGAAATGACGATTAATGAAAATTCCACCATTTTGAATTTCTACCATCAAGAATTCTCGAAATTAAATTTTTGAGATTATCGCTGCCCTTTTATTACCAAATTAATGGGGTTTAATTTTCATTTATTTTTAATTTGGCAGTTACTTTGAAAGAAATGCCCGCCATCAAATGAAAAATACATTTTTAAATTGATGTTTTTCAAATTCGATTTTTCGACACACTTCGCTTGCATAACCACTCTGTGTTTGAGGAATTTAAAAATAAATTATTTATCCTACCACCACTGAAAGACACTGCTTACGATATAGCGCTCTCGATAATTCCCGAAGAACGCCAAATTGAATTATGTTAATCATGTCATTTTGCCTTGGCCGATTTTGAGTATGATTTTGTCTGACATATTATCATTGAACCAAACCGTATTGATTTCTTTTGCAATTTGTTTAGTATAAATTGTAGCCCGTAAAACGTTATACCAAGAAAAAAATAAAACGTTTTGTTAAGTAAAGCTACATGGCGCCATGACGTCATAGTTTTTATGGCGTCATAGTTGGGACCCAAAATGGCGCCTGTAAATGAGTTGTCGTAACTTTCCCTATACAGGGCCTTGGACGGTGATAAAAATCACAATAATAAGGGCGATAATCCAGATAAAATAACGCTAAAAGCTTAAAAACTATAAGTTTTAGCGACTAATCGGAATCATTAAGTTATGTAATTGTACAATTTATAATATATTATTAATATAATACCCCACACAAAAAATGCAAAACAGCTAAGCTGAAGAAATCGTACTATGTATGTGTATTTATAAAGGCATAAAAAAATAAGGGAGGTAATTCAGACAGGGTTAGGTTACTACAGAAAATCTAAAATAAAATTTAAATTGGACCAGTATCCAGTATGTAGTCGGTTATATACTTATAAAAAATGTCAAACTTGGTATGTTGAAGGAATGGAAGTTTTTAAATTTCTTATAAAATGCGTAATTGTGTACCGCCTTTGGCAGTGCATTTAAAGTAAAGACACTGAACAATTTTATTCATGTTATAAAATAGCACTTCCCCTATTTTTCTTTTGTTAAAAATAGTGTATATAATTTATTGCCTTCATATGATTTGATTTGTTTTTCCCATTATTTCATAATACATATCAGTATATAATATTTCTGTATACTCTTTGTATGAGGAGAAGGGCGATAGGCTATATCTGTTCAATGATCCATTTTCATCCATTTGAAATAAAATATTGTTTTCATCATTTTCGTGCAAGCGGGGATCAAACCAAATAAAAATAACACAGATTTCATCATTCTCGTGCAAGCAGAAATCAAACCGAAAGAAAATAACACAGATTTCATCATTCTCACCAGGCCAGAAATTAAACCGAACGAAAATAACTCAGATTTCACCATTCTCGTCTTGTCAGGAATTAAACATTCACGCAGCTGATTGCAGGACCGTTCTAGATTGGTAATCCATCAAGATCATCACACTTATCAGTGGAAATACATCAAATGTTGACTCATTTTAGAAAGGGGGATAAAATTTTAAGTAGGCGTATAAAATACCCGAGTATCGGACATTGTGTTAAATAAACCAAGGAGATTTTTGATAATAAACTAAAACTGGGTCTATAAAACTGAAACAAACACAGTTTATTTGATATCAATTTACTATAGGAGTGTAATATGTATTTCCTCATTTGGTGACGAGAGTGTAGATACATATTAGCCGTTGCTGAAACTTTTTCCTTATAGGAGAGGGTAAATTTTTACTGTTTCCCGAAATAACGATTTCAGTAACGAGTGGTTAGTGGTTATATTTGTAAATAAAGGGTGTGTATTCAAAGAATTTCCTTAAAATATAAGGCCTAGTTTGTATTGCTTTACCGACAAAATATACACAAACCGTCGATTTTCCGTGTGTTAAAATTTAATCACCAAATATTGTGCCGTTTGGAAATGAGTCAAGCTGTTTGCAAACTTTGCCAAGGGGCAATTAGTACAATAACTTACAAAAACTTACCAACACGTCCCCTGTGCAGCTTAAACTTCTAAATTAAAGATACATTATGTAAGATTTAGATAAAGATCTGGCCATTCTTACTATAATAGTTCGGAAATAGATAATGCAAAATAAATTTAATGAAAAACTCATTCAAAGTACTCATTGCGAGTGCAGATATTAGCTTTTGAAGTTTGACAAGTTGTGTGCATTAATTGCAACCACCGCACTGGTTGTTCGAAGCTTAGATTCGCTTCACCATTTTTAGATTAAATCAAAATATGGTTGAACCGTTCTAATCCACTTAATATCGGAGATATCTGAGAACATCGAGAGTTGATTATGGTCTTATCATGTTAATAAAATGAAATGGGGTTTAACGTCCTACTGTTCTGCTCCTAAACTGGGCTAATGAAGACAGGCATACGCCATACAGTGAGCTATGAGGGAAATTTTGCCCGGGTAGCGGCGCTACGGCCTACTTTCATATCGAATTCCAACCGTCAAGGGATCTTTTACGTGTACGCCAATATGTACACGGGACCTCGGTTTTTCGTCCCACCCGAACAACTAGACAGCTGTCTATATGACATTTCAGGCATGAAAGAAAGACCTGCAATAGGCAGATTTAGCTCTTGCATAGTGTATGATTAATAATAGACATATCAACAATAAGTAAGACTAAATGCTGATTAATGCCGACAATTATTTTTGTTTTTTCTTTGATTCTGTAAGACTCATTTTCCACATATCAAAATCATAATAGACATTAAATAAAATGCCCTGAAATGGGGTTTAACGTCCTACTGTTCTGCTCCGATTGGGCTAATTGTGTGGTTGATTGGTTTAACGCGCTCGCATTAGATCATAAGGACTGCCATTGAAGCAATTTGCTTTGTTTCGATCCCAAATCATTATTTTGGAATGGTATTAAGATTAACCTTTTACATAATCAAGTAAATAATACGATTGGGCTAATTTCAGATTATATCATCTGCGAACATGATTATCTGCTTACAGGAGATTAACTAATCTATTGTTGTCGTAAGTTTATTTTATAACTGTTATAATTCACAAATTCTAACTAAGATTAGTTGTTTTTAAAGGGTTACTATAGACAACAATCATTTTAGTATATAAACTACACACTGTTGAGTTTAAGTCATCATTTAGTTCAACTTGCCTTCTGACAAACATCAGTCATAGCAAGCTGTTATTTTATTTATTTGACGACAAACTTTAATCTTCAATATGGTAAGTTATCATTTTAGTAATTTCTTTACGAAGTAACATTTTATTTTACATCGTATCTTTGATTTTTCCCGATTATTTTGTATCAATCTTCCACACAGGCATCACTGTAGTAAAATCAAGTAATTAATTCCATTATACAGTACAATAAACAAATTCTAGAGCAAACATGAGAATTTCTAATTGAGGGATGGTGTGTAAAAGGCGAGTTTGTTTGTTAAAAATAAGGCAGGTACAAAATGTACTAAATATTGACAATATTTTTTTAATTTTTTTCTAGCGTGAGTGTATCTCTGTTCATATCGGCCAAGCTGGTGTCCAGATGGGCAATGCCTGTTGGGAGTTGTACTGTTTGGAACATGGAATCCAACCCGATGGTCAGATGCCATCAGATAAAACTATTGGGGGAGGAGACGATTCCTTCAACACATTCTTCAGTGAAACGGGAGCTGGTAAGCACGTACCAAGAGCTGTGTTTGTTGATTTGGAACCAACGGTTGTAGATGAAGTAAGAACTGGTACATACCGCCAACTCTTCCACCCTGAGCAACTCATCACCGGTAAAGAAGATGCTGCCAATAACTACGCTCGAGGTCACTACACCGTGGGTAAAGAAATCATTGATCTGGTTCTCGACAGAATCAGGAAATTGGCTGATCAATGTACTGGTCTTCAGGGATTCCTCATCTTCCACAGTTTTGGTGGTGGAACCGGTTCTGGTTTCTCATCTCTTCTTATGGAACGATTGAGTGTCGACTATGGCAAGAAATCCAAGTTAGAATTCGCCATTTACCCAGCCCCACAAATTTCCACTGCTGTGGTTGAACCCTACAACTCTATCCTGACAACTCACACCACACTGGAACATTCTGACTGTGCCTTTATGGTTGATAACGAAGCTATTTATGACATCTGCCGCCGTAACTTGGATATTGAACGTCCAACCTACACCAACCTGAATCGTTTAATTGGTCAGATCGTCAGCTCCATCACCGCCTCTCTACGATTTGATGGTGCTCTTAATGTTGATCTTACTGAGTTCCAGACCAACTTGGTTCCCTACCCACGTATCCATTTCCCTCTTGCTACCTATGCCCCAGTCATCTCTGCTGAGAAAGCCTACCATGAACAACTGACCGTTGCTGAAATCACCAACGCCTGTTTTGAACCCGCCAACCAGATGGTAAAATGTGATCCTCGCCACGGCAAGTACATGTCTTGTTGTATGTTATACCGGGGAGATGTTGTTCCCAAGGATGTTAATGCTGCCATCACCACCATCAAGACCAAGAGAACCATCCAATTTGTTGACTGGTGCCCAACTGGTTTTAAAGTAGGTATCAACTATCAACCACCAACTGTTGTACCAGGAGGTGATTTAGCCAAGGTACAGAGAGCTGTTTGCATGTTGAGTAACACAACTGCCATTGCCGAGGCATGGGCTCGTCTAGATCATAAATTTGATCTGATGTACGCTAAAAGGGCTTTCGTCCACTGGTATGTTGGTGAAGGTATGGAAGAAGGTGAATTTTCTGAAGCTAGAGAAGATTTGGCTGCTCTAGAGAAAGATTATGAAGAAGTTGGTGTTGATTCTGTAGAAGGTGAAGGAGAAGAAGAAGGTGGTGAAGAATATTAGACAATGTCTGTGATAAAATAAAACATTTTAATAGAAATTGTATTTGGTTTTATATTTGGTTTTATCAGTTTCCTCGTCATTACAATGATTTACGTCTCATTCGAATTACTTGGTATTGAGGTCAATGTTCTAGCGAATTGCCCAGCTGGATCTTACGTGGCCTGTCGTGTTTCCATGGGTTTTCCCATTTTTTGAAAGCCAAACGAATAAGCGAATGGTATATGACAAAAGACCTAGTATCGCGTGGAAGGTAACGCCCATTTCAGTGGTTATTTTACGACAGTATTTTACTTTGATCTTTATGGCCGTATTATATATGGACAAGAATTTGTCCTCCAACCCATACAGGGGTCCTTCAATTTCTAGTCCTAGTATAATCCAGACATATATCATATTAAAAGTCCATCTCAACATACAGGAGGGTTAGGATGGGGTTTAGGCCCCGTGTTAGGTATCTAAACCCCCCAAAATAAAATTAACCTTCTGGGATTGTTGTGGGTGTTTTAGCCGAGCACAGCACGAAAACGCCGACCGTAATATATGCCCTTTCTGGATGTCTTTCAAATCAACAAACACTTCCTCTACTGAAAATCCGGCAGCATGTCTTAATGTGATGTATCATGAGCAGCAGGCTACCCTACCCCGTACAAACTAAACGTGACCTGAGACCAGAAGATGTCCTTACAGCTTCCCCACTCCCCTTCTGTCGGCGTCCCTGAAGTCAAATGGAATGGGATTTGACGTCCTATTGTTATTCTCCGACTGGTCTGATGAAGACGGCCCGAAGGTAAATATAAAAGACATTAATTCCATATCCATGAAGGTCATTTATCGAGTTAAAATAAAACATCACAACTTGATGGTTTAGGTTCCAGGTCCGCTCTTCGCCTTTCAATGGTAACACCTGCGCGATCGATACGAAAATTTGAATGAAAATTATTTAGTGCATGTAAAATATCCCTTTGTGTCGGAAGTACTACTGGGTAAACATCTCTCGTCGTAAATCATTTACAAAAATACCATGAAATATAGATTAGAATATGGTCACAGTGTTTACTCTCGTTTTACTATTTTTCGATGGATTATAAATTTTACTGGGGCATTGCAGCCGCCAGAAGTATGCCATGAGGGCAATTTTGCCTTAATAATAATACTAATTATGACACTATTTACGAAGGATTGAAGATTAGACTATAATATCCTTTCTAACATTCTGCCGTTCGTAGAAAATATAATACAAAAGATATAGCCCAATAAATAACATATCACAATAATTTACAATAGAGAGGAAAAGATATTAGACAAAAGCAGCTTTAACACAGAAAGTTTAAATACATAGATATAACATGTATTAACAAATATACAATATATGTACATGCTTATAATATAGAGATACACAAAATGCATATTAAAAGAGATATAGAAAAAAGGTTATAGAAAAAGAAAGATAAAGAGCTTACAGTTCTCGCTATAATAGTTTAAATAATAGATAATGTAACGGGAATATGCTGAAAATTTCAGTCAAATTACTTAATTCAGAGCCGAGGAAGTCATTTTAATAACACTGTAGCCTCGATTGCCATTGTTACTGTTGTTATGATAATAAACAAAGTTTTAATTAACCACGTTTACGGTTTATCAATACGGTTGTTGAACGCCAGATCGGATTCAAATCAGTCCCATCAGGTAGCCCCCCCCCCCCACACACACACCCCCCGTAAAAAGGTTTAGCCCCTCCTCCCCCCCATACGACCGTCAAAAAACTGTCAACCATAACAAAAACCCTAGATATACAGTGTCCGTCAATTTTACAGCACCCCTGAGAACACTTCCCGTCCCCTCGTTGCTCTGAGCTAGTTACGGACCTGAGCGTATCCCACTTTTAACTATATGATTATTTGGTCTGAGATTGGTAAGTTTATTGTTAAGATGATTATAAGGAGTTTGATAGTAAGGTAAATAATCAGGGCATTGCTTTAGCAACATTTTATACATATATATCGATTAGACATTTACGATTGTAAGAATTTGTCCAGGTTAAATTTCGTCAGTATGTTTAAACATGCATTATGCAAGAGCAAAATCTGCTTATTACAAGTCTTTCTTTAGGCCTGAAATGTTATCTAAATTATCAATTAGACATTAATTAACTTATCCAGACCATAATAAATTCTCGATGTCAAGGCTAGCCTTCGATGTTGGCTGGATTAGATTCCTATATGCCGCTAACGGCTATTGATAATTAAATCAATAAAAGTGGATAATCGAGACTATGCTGTTTATAATAATGATTTTAGTAATGATATCCGAGACTATGCAAAAATTTCACCCGCTTCTTTCTCGGCTCATAGTGGATCAATTTGACTGAAATATTCAGCAAATTACCTTTACACTATCTAGTTTTTAACTTTTATAGCGAGAACTGCCATCTCTTTATCTTATCTCACATAATGTATCTTTAATACTTAGAATTAATTTTGAAGCCATTATTTGCTGTTGAGAAAGACGATCAAGGGATTTATCGCCACAACTGCCCCATATTGGGGAAAACTGGCATTGTAAAAAAGGATTCAGCATGAAGCTGGTAGATATTTTTATAATTTAATGGCAGTTGAAATAGTTTCTGGATTAATTTGTTTTAGAAATATACTTGATATGACCTTCCGGATTACTCTTCGTTAAATGTCAACTACAAACGGCTCTTTTACGTTGTCAAGTGGGAACCACGCTGGAAATTAATGTCGAAGCTGGCCACTGGGAGATCCCAGTGTGTGGGCCTGTGTCTTACTGATCGAGCCCCGTGGCCCGAAACACTTTTGCCTGTCTGTATAAATAAATAAATATGTTACGCTAGAAGATTACCTCATTAGATTAACGGCTCTTATATTATTATACCAATCAGTAATAGTAGTGTGTATTTATAATTAGCTCCCTTTGTTTCTCTAGCGACCACAGTTTCTGTGTTTGTAACTAAGACTAAGGATGTTTAAAGGGTTACTAATGTTACTATAGACAACAATTATTACACTATATAAACTACGAACTGTGGAGTTCATGTCATCATTTAGTTTAACTTGCCTTCTGACAAACATCTGTCATAGCAAGCTGTTATTTATTTCATATCGTTGACGACAAACTTTAATCTTCAAAATGGTAAGTGATCATTTTAATAATTTCTTTACGAAGTAACATTTTATTTTTACATCGTATCTTTGGTTTTTCGGCTTTAATTGGTATCAGTCTTTCACTTAAACACGGGCGTCACTGTAGTAATATCAAGTAATGAATTCCATTATACATTACAAAAAAAAAATTCTAGACGCAAATATGAGACATTTCTAATTGAGGGATGGTGGGTGAAATCCTTGTTAGTTTGTTAACAAATTAAGCAGAAAAATAATAAACTAAATATTGACAATATTTTTTAAAAATTTTTCTAGCGTGAGTGTATCTCTGTTCATATCGGTCAAGCTGGTGTCCAGATGGGCAATGCCTGTTGGGAGTTGTACTGTTTGGAACATGGAATCCAACCCGATGGTCAGATGCCATCAGATAAAACTATTGGTGGAGGAGACGATTCCTTCAACACATTCTTCAGTGAAACGGGTGCTGGTAAACATGTACCAAGAGCTGTGTTTGTTGACTTGGAACCAACCGTTGTAGATGAAGTAAGAACTGGTACATACCGCCAACTCTTCCATCCTGAGCAACTCATCACCGGTAAAGAAGACGCCGCCAATAACTACGCTCGAGGTCACTACACCGTGGGTAAAGAAATCATTGATCTGGTTCTCGACAGAATCAGGAAATTGGCTGATCAATGTACTGGTCTTCAGGGATTCCTCATCTTCCACAGTTTTGGTGGTGGAACCGGTTCTGGTTTCTCATCTCTTCTCATGGAAAGATTGAGTGTTGATTATGGCAAGAAATCCAAGTTAGAATTCGCCATTTACCCAGCCCCACAAATTTCCACTGCTGTGGTTGAACCCTACAACTCTATCCTGACCACCCACACCACCTTAGAACATTCTGACTGTGCCTTTATGGTTGATAATGAAGCTATTTATGACATCTGTCGCCGTAACTTAGATATTGAACGTCCAACCTACACCAACCTGAATCGTTTAATTGGGCAGATCGTCAGCTCCATCACCGCCTCTCTACGATTTGATGGTGCTCTTAATGTTGATCTTACTGAGTTCCAGACCAACTTGGTTCCCTACCCACGTATCCATTTCCCTCTTGCTACCTATGCCCCAGTCATCTCTGCCGAGAAAGCCTACCATGAACAACTGACCGTGGCTGAAATCACCAACGCCTGTTTTGAACCAGCCAACCAGATGGTAAAATGTGATCCTCGTCATGGCAAGTACATGTCTTGTTGTATGTTGTACCGAGGAGATGTTGTTCCCAAGGATGTCAATGCAGCCATCGCCACCATCAAGACCAAGAGAACCATCCAATTTGTTGACTGGTGCCCAACTGGTTTTAAAGTCGGTATCAACTACCAACCACCAACTGTTGTACCAGGAGGAGATTTAGCCAAAGTACAGAGAGCTGTTTGTATGTTGAGTAACACAACTGCCATTGCCGAGGCCTGGGCTCGTCTAGATCACAAATTTGATCTTATGTACGCTAAAAGGG